GGATGCCCTATCTTTCCGTTCGTATTCAATTTTGCCATTGAGGATGTCCTGAAGAACGCTCTGGGCAATTCGTTGAACGCTGGTGTTGAGCTCCTCCCAGATAGTTGTGTTGTTGATTTAGATTATGCTGATGATATCGTCTTGCTGGGTGACGATCCTCACGTCGTCTAACTTCCACTAAACCGCTTGGCGATTGAGGCATCAAAGTATGGTATGTACTTTTCGCCATCCAAGTGCAAGGCTCTCTTCCAAGATTGGCAGATGATTCTGCCTACACTCACTCTTGATGGTGAGACGATAGAGGTTATGGAGAGCTTTGTCTACTTGGGAAGTTGCATCATTGCTGGCGGGACTGTTGGAGACGGGATTTCGATGCGCATCTCGAGAGCATGCCTCGCTTTTTTAGGCTGCTGCACCTGTGGCATCGCCATGAGATTTGTCTCACTATCAAAGGGTAGGTCTATTGTGCAGCTGTTCGTGCTGTACTGTTGTACGGATGCGAGACCTAGTCCATTCGTAAAGATGACTTGTGCAGGCTATCCGCCTTCGAGCAACGCTGTCTGCGGTCCATTACCCGTGTGTGGTGGCAGCACCATGTAAGCAATGTGGAAGTTAGACAGCGTGTCTTGGGAAGTGGAAGCTACTCGCTCGAGGAGCTCGTCTCACTGCATCAACTGCGGTGGTTGGGACACGTATCGCGCATGTTTGTCCAGCGTTACCCGCGTCATGCGTTGTTTGCGGTTGCTGAGAAGGGCTGGAAGAGACGGTCTGTTGGACAGCCTACAACTTGGAGAAACCGCATGAAAAAGCTGAGAAAACAATTGGCTTCGGCCAGTTGTTGTCGACTACCCGGTTGGGGTTCGGGAGATGCGGATACTTATTGGTTGAAGACCGTGGAAGCCTTGGCTCAAGATCGATGTCACTGGCGGACATGCGCATCGGTGTGTTGCGATGTTCCTTCTTCCTCCCCATAAAAAAGCAAACCGCAAAAATATTCCAACAACTGTGGGTGGTAACCTGGGCAACAAAGATTTTGCTGTTGTTGTTGTTGTTGTTGTTGTTGTTTTTTCTTATTATTCACACCGTTTTCTTTCAGCCATGAATCCGATGGCACAATATCTGTACCACAGATTACGTATTATATATATATATATATATATATATATATATATATATATATATATCCAGCTTAAAAGACCTAGTTTAAGTGTAAGTTGGTTTAGCCCTACTGCGGTGAAGAAGCATCAAGAATGCAACATCAGCCTCAGCATGGGGCACACATACATACATGGTTGGCGGCATCCGGTTTCGGATTTGCCTGTCACTGTGGCCAGCCACAGGCTGTTGCTTGATATCCCCGGTGTGGCTGCGCTTGATGTGCATGTTGACAAGGTGCCTACCTGTCTATTACCCACTACCTCGTTCATACTGGCTCCAGGAGACAGTTGGTCGTTGCTGGAGGGGATGGGGTGCACGGTCCGTGTGGCCGTGCTAGGCTCAAAGAGCGGTTCCATGCACTCAGTGTGGAGCGGACTACGGTCCAGCCACCGCCTTGTGTGTGCGCTTGCGTCCCCAATTACAGCGTGCTTGTGTTTGCCTGTGAAGGAGTGTGGGCCGGCTCCGTTGATGAAACGTGGCTCCCAAGCGCATGCCTCCCGGTCTTATTCCTTCGGGTTTACACTGGATATGGGGTGTGTGGTTGGAGCTGTGGGTGATGCAGCGCAAGCCACCCATGGTCCCTCTGTAGGCGCAGGCGTCCTGTGGCTGGCCACAGTGACAGGCAAATCCGAAACCGGATGCCGCCAACCATATATATATATATATATATATATATATATATATATATACATATATATATATATATATATATATATATATAGTCACTGCCACCCAGTGGTGCGCTTGTAATTATTCCGTGGATCATGAGTTCTTCTTCGGTGAGCACAAGATTAAGTATCGACAGATTGTTGGCAGTTCGAAATCTGGTGGGAGTGATCACGTCCTTGTGAAGAGAGTAGCTGGAACTGACGCCTTGTTAAGGGGCTTTGAACCGCATGCTATCAGTCGCCGCTGTTTCCAGGTCGTGCACATTAAAATCGCCTGCGATGACGATGTGGATGTATGATGTACTCAAAGCTATCTGAAGAAGGCAGTGCAGTCCATTTCACACACCGAGTTTGATGGATGGTAAATCACAGCTATAAAACATGTTTTTGTTCCGCAACCATAACCGGTACTAAAGCGAAGCTGGAGCACGGATTTCTGGGTGATAAATAAGTGCAAATCGGAGCTTAGCCTTGTAATACAGAATAACGTCACCACCTTTTCCGGCTGTATTATTCCGAAGCAGCGACATACCAGGTAAATTGACTTCAGAATATGCTATCTCTAGGCTTAAAACCGTCTACGTAATCATAATGAGATCCCGTGGCTGTGATACTTGGCATTTTCCAAGTCCGGCCAAGTTAGTAAGAAGACCTTGAGCGTTAGTGTGTACAAACGAGACCGTTTTTATGATGTTAGAAGTGTGCGGGTAGACAACCAATTCGTGTTTAGTTTTAAGCCGTCCGTCATCCTGACGGTGAAAACGGAACAAGAGCAGAGTGATAATCTTCTGTACTTGGACATATTGCTAGAAGACAGGAAAAATCAATCGATACGTAGATCTGTCTAATGCAAACCAACATGGAGGGGGCAATATTTGAACATTCATATCTTTGTCCCAGAACGCTACAAACAGGGCTTGGTGCGGACTCTGTTTAATAGCTCGAGAAAAACATGCAGTTCAGACACGCTCGAACAGGGGATGCAACTGCTCGCCAACACCCTGATAGAAAATGGTAGTCTTTCAATTTTGTAACCAGATAGCAGAAGTAAAAGTACACACCGTACCGAAATTGAAGTAATGGTGCAGCTACCGTTTAAGGAGGATGATGGAAGCTAGTATTACAAGGACGTCTGAAATCCGCAGTGCCGCGTCTGTACCCCGCAGCACAACCGGCTATACTGTACACAACGACTCGCACCCCTACTCTGTCGGTTAAGCCACCAGTACCTCTGTTCAGCCGTTCACGTCCTTCACACACAATCTTCACCAAGTTGCATGCAGTTGCAAGGCCGACTACGTGGGTATGACAGAGCGTCAGCAGCAGGTGAGAATCGCGGCGCATGTGCCGAAATGAGTGATACGACGTAAAGAACCTCATCCATTGCCCCAAGTGCTAACGATTTGCGATACGAATATCCAGCTTCGTCAATCGCCCGTAACCTGTTGACAGACAAACACAACTTGGACCATGCGCTCAAGTTCCGAGTGATCTTCGCGTCAAATAGCATCACGCATCGTTATATGGCGAAGCGGTGGACATCAAAATACTGGGCTCTGCCGTGATAAAATGCCAGCTGACATACGCACACTTGACCTGAGTTGGGAGTGGTTTGGTGTTGCTCCTCCCAACACTGACCTGAGTGTTCGTGCGGGCGTGTCTGTCGATGTAGGTCCTTTGGTGAATTTGCTATCCCATCTATATATATTTTTGCACGTACTTTGCAATGCACACTTGATAATACGCGGATATATTTATCAGGATTATAAATAGTGCGGTTCTATCATGCTAATGTTGTTATAGAAAACACAAAGTTTTATTTTCTAGGCTCAGTACTTGCTGTCTCCAGAAAACACTCTAGGCAGCTTATCAGGTTGTCCTTTAACCTAACAAGTTAGTTCAAATGTGACAAAACCAGTTTTCAAGTACAAAGGCTTGGGGATTTCCGTATGTTCTTTGAAACTCTGTGACCATAATCATCATCATCGAAATACGTTAGCTGAGGGTGAGAAACACACCTCAACTAATGTGCCATAATAAAACATTAGAATTAAACATTACAGACTACAAAATCCAAAAAGTAACGTAGTGTTAAATATCATATTATGCACTAGTTATGAGGTCGTTGTTGGCGGAGGAAGCTAAAGTGGAGGGTAGGGACAAAGAAACTCACAACGCAAACGCAATTAAGGCCGACTCTTTGCCTGTCAATTAGTGTATCCAAGCAAACGTGCTCAGCTTCCTTCGGACCATTGCCCACCAGTCGGGATGCACCAACCGACTCCAACATCGAATTGAGGGTTTTCATTCCTCTTGAGCAAGTCATCACTTAGCCTCCCACCCAATTCTTCCATCCAGACCCCGCGCGCAAAACATCTGACGCGGGAGTCGGTGTGCTGGCACGCGCAACACATGACCGAGCCGTGGGAGCCTAGTTTCTGGTATAACGGTACTGAGTGGTTCACTGGCTCTTCCTGCGCCAAATATACAAAGCCGAACACGTCCATTGCTCACGCGGTGTTCCCATTAAACATGAGCTAAGCTGCCAATGTAGCTAGCTTCTTTATGTCTGTCCACTTCATGGGCCAGGTTTCGCAACTGTACAGGATGGTTGAATGGACGGTTACATTGTACCCTTCAGAGCGAGGGTGATGTCGTGAAGGCACCACCATTGAAGGAGTTTAGCAAAAGCGCCTAAGGCTTTTGCTGTACGGTTGGTGATCTCATGTTCCATCCCAAGAGCGATAACATAGCTTGCCTTACACTTGAAGTTTTAAACGACTTCTAGCTTAACACCACAAAGAGTCGGCGCAGGAGTGGGTCCCTGAATATCTTGTAAGAGAACTTTGCATTGTGGGAGTGCAAGTCGTAGTCCGAAAAGGCTGACACACAGAGCCAATTTATCCAGTGCAACTTGGCACGGGAGCTATCACCTATTGATGATGATCCTGCTAAGTGGGAAGCGTCTTATCTCCGCTTCGCAATCCATGAATCAACATGGTATTGTGATAAATGGACTATCTCGAACCATATAAGGACAATGGTAACAGCTGCTTAAATGCATTTTGCAGTTTGAAACGTTGTCCCATCATCAAAATAGGAAGAAAATATTTCCCTTTACTTGCTTTTTGACATTCACGTTTCACACCAAAATTTCAAATATCACTTCTTTAGTTTTACCACTCGGAGATGGCCTCAAGAATTGCTGGTCCGATCCCCACTCACGAAATATATGAACTACCTCTGGTGGGATGCTGGACTGCGTTAGCGAAAAGTCGTTTTGGTGGATCATTAGGAAACCTGAATGTTCCTCGATGCCAAGCAAATGTCTCCCCAGCCAATGGGCACTGCATGGATTCCGCCTGTGGTAAGTAACGTCCAGCCTTTCCAGTTTACAGCTTGTTAGGCTGCCATGACTTTTATTTTAAAGATAGAACAAGCAAAGTAGATGGAATGGCGTGAACGTTGTACAATTGACATAAATTCACACATAACTACTCACAAACATGATACCTTTCCCACTTAAGGAACGATCACATACAACGGGGTAGTGCTATCAGATATGAACAGCGCTTGTACCTCAGAATGTAGATGGTAATAGTTGGCTGTCTTGCAAATCTAGTATTTTGATTGCAAACCTTTCGTTATCAGACTATGAAATATCGTCGATGCAAACCTCTTCTTCCGGAAACGTTGACACTGACGATGTTGCCAAATCTGGGAGTGAAGCGTTTACTAAATTATCCAGCTCTGAGAGTAGCACTATCATTTATACACACTCTACTACGGTACAGCACTGATCGTAACAAACAAGCAGTCCAATTTCACTAGAGCTACCAATGAATTTGTATTCGACTGAGTTATGGCACCCATCCCCGCCGCGTGTTGACTTGCCCAGTTACCGGGGTCCAGATGTGAGATAATTTATTCAACAGCTGGAGGTCTATGCTACACAAATCCAATTTTTGTTGTGCCAAGTAAGGGAAGCACGTAAATATCATATTCAATGGTCCATTGAATCTTATCATGGGCTGAGTCCAGTTAAGCCTTAGCTATACACGCATGAAAATCTCTATAGAAAGATAAACCGGAAGCGTAAAACCATATCACAGTTCAACCACATTTTTATAACAGAAATGAGATAGGGTGTTGCTAGTAGTCCCAAGTGAGCTGATTACAAACAGGTAAACCAAACGTTTGTATCATGTTGCTTTTTGTTTAATTTCAGCCTTTCACTTCAGCTAAGCAATACTTTCCATGCATCGAATGATCTATTTTGCTTGGTCCATTGGCTCCCTGTAACCGTATAAAAGAAATGATCTTGGCCATAGTATTCACATGATACTCAAAGTCGATTGACAGCTGTGTTTCCTTAATTGATATCTTGATCATGGCTCAAAGACGCTGCTGTGTCAGGGACCGAAATCATTATTGTTACGTCTGTGGACAGTTTATCACAAAGCCACAATTGAAACTAAGAGATCAGGATACTAAGTGGGCACCACATGTTGTTTGTGAGTCGTGCACTGTTCATTTGACTCAGTAACTTAAGGACAAAGACAAGCTGTCACTTGCAATCCCCATGGTGTGGAGCGAGCCGAAAGATCTCTCGACAGACTGTTACTTCTGCCTAACGAGTGTCATTAAATTCTCCAAGCGGAACAAGGGCAACATTTGTTACCTCGATCTTCTATCAACCATTTGACCTGTTTTTCATGATTGCACTGTACCCATTCCATGGGCTCCAGTGAACATGTCACTGATGAACAGTAATGATTCTGCATCGTCAAATTCACCTGATTCTGACATCTGTGAAAACTTTGCAGCTGATGATGTCAACTCATATTTTAGTAAACAATTAGAGCTGAATGACTTGGTAGTGACCTGGGTTTGGCTAAAGACGAGGCAGAGTAGTTGGTATCGCGGCTGCAGCAATGGCACTTACTTGCCACAAACACCAGGATTACTGTATACAGAAAGCGAAGTGTTAAAATCTCCTGTTCCTATGACACGAGCAAGACCTTTTGTTACTGTTCCGACTTGGAAGGACTGATGAAGGAGCTTGGCATGAGGCAAAGCAGTGATGAATAGCATTGTTCCTTACCTTGTCCAAGAGTAATCGTAAGGCCAAACAACTCCACAATCGAAATGTGTAACCAAATGTGCCTCTGTTGCATGGCACCAATATGAAGGAGACTTACGAGAGTTTGCAACAGATAATCGCTGCACTGAACTACTATAAGTACTGCTGAAACATCTGTGTTGTCTTCAAAGTCATTGGACTCCCAATAAGTATGCATGGATGTTTCGTAAATTAATGCTGTTTCTTGTGCTTACGGGACAGTAGAGCAATAGCAACATTAAACAACTGAATATTGACCAGAGGGGACAGAGTATGCTGCAGGGAAAATGAGTGCAAATCATACACCTCCCGTGCAACCTGATCATATCTATCTACCACCCTTTCGGCGGCACAGTACCTGAGGTGATTGTGGCACAGCAGCTGAGGTGTTTCTCACCTCTAGCTAAGTAGTATAATGATGATGACCACCCCTTCGCCTTAAGCTTGGTTTGATTAAGAACTTTGTCAAAGCCCTTAAGCGAGATGGTTTTACGTTTTAGTACCTGACACAAATGTTTCCGAAGATTAGTGATGCGCAGCTCAAAGATGAGATACTTATTGGGCCTGCTATTCCCCGGATAATGGAAGATAGTGCTTTCAAAAGGCTGTTGACTTCATTTGTGTTAGAAGAGTGGAGATCATTTATGGTAGTGTGTACAGGCTTTTTGGGTAAAGCAAATTCAGAGAACCACAAAGGCATTATAAAGAACTCATTGCAGACTGTCAGGCTGTTTGTGTTCAAATTTCATTTGAGATTCACTTTCTACATCATCACCTTGACATTTTCCTTGGGAACTTGGGAGCTGTAATCGATGAACATGGTGAACGCGTTCACTGAGATATTCCAGTCATGGAGCAGGGCTACATTGGCAAGTACATACTTTCTATAATGGGTGACTTGCTGATTTCTGCACCTTGAGGGCGCTTGCTCATACAAGGGACGATCTCGTCTAAGTTATCATTTCCCTGTGCCAAGTTGCAGTCAGCAGTTATGGGCCAGTGTGGCAATGATGTTTTAAACGTTTTTGTCACACGCATGCATATTGGATACGTTATGATACAGTACAAGGACATATAATTCGTACGATCTAGACTGGAGATTACTGAAATTAATCATTAGCTTATAACATTGTAACCTGATGTGGTAGGTAACATCGGAATACATTTCTACTATCAGTGGAGTGTATTCTATAGGATAGAGACATTGGCATTTCTGTCATAGAAACCGAATTTTTTGTAAGCGTAATTAGATACACCAGGAAATTGATTCCTCTTTTAAAACAGTGAATTCCCTTCAACAATTTAAAAAGCACGGAAAGGAGACGAAAGCTGGTAGATGCTTTCATTTCGTATTGTCTCCTCAGTACCATGGCAACAACCGATATGCATGGATATAACTAACTGTGGGTGCGAATATACATGTTTCAGGTGCGAAACAAATGACGGAGGTTGATTCCTACATCCAGGACAGCTTCAGGCTAACAAATAATTTTTTCTGAATGCACAGAGCTGCTCTTCTGCGGCTTAGAACGATAGCCACAATAAACAAATTTTGAACGCTGAGCCTAGCTCTATGTCGATAACTTTGATCAGATACGGATAAGAGATTATTTGCACTGCTGCCATTCTCTACTATTCTTAACCTAAAATTAGTTCATTGGTAACTACAACTCACTGACCAGACGCACAGTCTGAAAATAAGCTTTCTTCTAGGGCAGTAAGTTCATCAGACGAATGATTCAGCAACTTTCTTAACCCTGCACTCGATTTAAACCCCCAAGATGCAATGCATAACAGAGCCTATCTATCAGTCCCATATAGTAATGCATGGTTCTTCAACTACTGGATGCTTATGCAATGTGGCTTAATTAAGGGAGTATTTCAGTAACAATGAAAATGATAATCCCGCATTTACATGCTCGTGCTTTTCTCACTGACCCATGGTCGATCAAAGGAGAGTGATCGAAAGCAAAATTTGCTGAGTTAGAATCAGTATAATCTATCGAGGTTATCCGCAATAAGTTCCAAGTCACGCGGCCTACCCGTGTCCAACGGAGCAATCGGCAACCGTTTTGGCATATCGGAAGTCAACAATGGTTGCATCTCTCGGTTGTAACAGGAACATGACTCACGGCCTCTAAACCCCAGCGGCTAACGCCACTATCCGGAAGTTTACACTACTTGATCTTGGGTGAAGGTGACTGACTGACCAAACTTACAAGCGAGGTGAATTTATAGCGTTGTTCGTCTTCCACTTTTATCTGACTTACGAATGTTCCAGTGGCATTAGCTGCTGGACGCTGACGCAAGCAGCTGGTATTGAGTGTTCATGGGTCCGGTTTCTGATGGAGCCGTGATAGGTGCATTACTGACGAGTCCCAACGCTACATACTGTACGTCTACTGCTTCTCTGGAATCGTGACAGGACCACCATGTTTGAAGCTACTGCGAAATACTCCAACTAATTAACTAAATCCACTCTTCTCTCAAGTAAAATATCTATTAATCGCAATGATTATTTACAGCAATAATGCTCTTCTTTTCAGTAAAAAACCATACACAAAAGTACACTTCTAAGTAGAGATGTACGGTGTACTGGAAGACGAAATGAATTCAGATCTATGACAGCATACAGCTCAAGAGAAAAATTTGAAACAAAAAGGCGGTGAAGTTCAAATCGTGAAGTGTATTACTTACGACTTGTCTGCCAGACGAAATGCAGGTAAAAGCCTAGCAAGTATCCTGCGTTTTACATCCAACAAGCAAGCAAAAAAGCAAGAGTACAATGAACTCACCCAGAAATAGTACCCCCGGACCGTGACCATGAAACAATTATGAATTCGGAGACAGAAGTTAAAATTGTGTGAATTATTGAGAAATATATCTAGAATGTCTAGGGTGAGAGTGGCGATAGCGATAAAAAACGAATGAATACCACTACGGAGAAACGTATTGATGACAGTAAAAATAATAGGGTTGCGCTACCTAGACTTTCGGACAAGCCCTCTCTACTTATGACTCGACAGGCAGAAAATTAGCCGGTCAGTCTGCTTTACGGTGAAGAACAGGGAAACGACGCGCATTTCCTGTTTAGCCCCTGCATGTTCATAGTATGATTGGATATAGTACGTACTACTGGTCAAGATTAAGTAGCGTTGTATAGTCGGGCAAACCCGATAAGAACGGGCCAAGCAAGGACCACTGAGACGCGTTATCACAAGTAGAGGCGTGAATCGGGAAGAAGCGCAGAAGCAGCTTGCTACGATGGCTGGAATAAACGGGACGCCGTACACGTCCGCGTAGACAGCCGTGTAGAGACTCCGTACCATCCGAATTCCTCCCGGTCTTATTCCTTCTAGTTCACACCGGACGTGGAGTGTGTAGATGGAGCTGTGGGTGGTGCAGCGCAAGCCACCCATGGTCCCTTTGTAGGCGTAGACATCCTGCGGCTGTCTCCCTGGAGGCCCTAGTGATAGGCAAATCCGGAAGCGGATGCCGCCCATCCAAGCAAATGCCTGAGGTTCCTCGTAGGTGTTCGGTAAGTAACTTTTCGCTTGCCTGGGTCAGGCTGACGTCATCTTGCTAGGGCGCAGCAACTAACTGGTCCGCGACTTACTTCAAACCGCCCAATGAAAACCCCCACACTTATGGATTGTGCATCGCATTGAGTCGTGTGCTGTAGATAAAACGGGGAGTGGACGCATGCTGCTGATCCACAAGTTACCATGATTATTGTCCGGTAATCTCGGTAATTTCACTGACCCCCATTTCCAAATGCTCAGACGAGTTCGGTCGTGCCGCTTATTTCAACGTATAGCTCAGACACGCAGAAACTAGGAGACCGGCCGACTTTAGAAATCGGGAAGGCGCAATCATCGGCTCTAGTTCACAAGCATCCTGCATCTCCTTCCACTTACGTCATTTGCGTTGCATCGGTTCTCATGTTGAACCACTGCAAGTGTCCTTCACCTCAAGAGCCTACTGCTGGTACAACAGTGGTTTCGTTTACATATCGCACTGCAGCAGTTCGGCGTAAGCCGGATAACCCACCGCTATTACCTCCACTGCTGGTAACTGGAGTGAAGGTTTCCTTCCCAAAAATGGTTATATGCATGTGCATATGGGTTGAGGTAACCTGCAGTCAATAATGTGGTATGTTATATCTGCTTCTTTGAATATTCTAGCTGATAGTGCAAGCCATGCCTTATCATTTTGAAAAGCCATAGGCAGCTACAGCGAGCTGATGGCAATCGGACTCGAGTCAGGGCATGGCAGATTACTTCGTTAACAGAGTAGTCATTGAGTTCGTCTGATTGCACAGCAAAAATGCAAAGTATTCCTCTGGACCACCGAATTCTGGTCCCTCGTGACGCCTGGTAAAAACGAAAAGGTGGGCATTCTTGAACAGTCTGCTAATACGGACACTCTCCTCCTGATGTTGATCAGTGAACCGGTGGATGGAGTGGCGTGACGCTTGTAACCGTCAACCAACCATCTTTGGTTTATTACAAGCATGATCCCAGAAGCAATTACATTGTGGCGTACCGGGGAATTCCATTCAACATTGATTTTGGAAAGTTAAAGTCGTGAACCGATACTGCCTAGTATAACGTTCTGGTCATATGATAAGGTGCAAGGAGGAACAACTGAAATGTTTATTAATAACTTCGGAGTAATCCAGAAAGTACTAATAGGCTATTTTATGGGCTAAGTTGAGCCATTAGCTGAGAAACATGGTTTTCTATACCCTTTCAGTTCACGTCGTTTCTTCACATTCTCTATGCTCACCTTTCGACCGAGCTGCATGAAGTGTATGAAAAGGGTAGTTTAGAAATTCGAAAGAAAAGCTAGTACAAGTGTCTACATGCTTGCTGACAATAGAGTCACCAAGTGCAACTCTAGACAGTCTAGGTACCTGCAATTAAGTTGTAACAAACGTGGGAACAATATGTGATTATGTTCATAGTAGGTCAGGCAAAATTACTGGAGAACAGTAGAGTCAGTGGGGCCGAATGCGTGCAGTCGCAAGTTTAAAGATCGAATCACGAGGTACGGAAAGCATTCTAAGTTTGAAGGTATGAAAAGATAGCCTGCTAACCTTGTCAACTGTTTCAACGACATGGGTAGATCAATATTGGTTTTGGGAACCTTGCAAGACCGAGTACGTGGGTATGAGAGATCGTCATCTGCAGGAGCGAATAGTGGACCATATGCAGAAGTGGGTGGGAAAACACATTTCGCACACCTCATCCATCACCCCAAGTGCTAACGCGAGTTGTCAGCCTCGTTCGTCACTGATCACGGACAAACACACAATGTGCACTACGCAAGCAGGTTCTGGGTGATCAAATCTGCACCACGTTTCACGATATGCAGAAGCGGTAACTATCAGACAACTAGGACCCACACTATGGCTGCGAAAGGACGCGTTCGTTACACTCTATGCCATGATAGCAGGCCAACTGACAGACGAACAATTGATCTGAGTGTTTGTCTATGCGTGTCTGTAGGTGCATGCCCTTTGGTGAATCTGCTGTCCAAATCATACCAGACGTTCATAATGCTATATATGTGTATTCATACGCAATCTGCAGTACGCACTTGAAAATATGCAACGAAATTTGTCCGGATATAAATCGTATGGTGCTATCATGCTAACCTTTTTGCCGAAGAGCTCATCGGGGAATAGCGTCTTCACGATATCATCAGTTATGTAGTTAAAAAGAAACGGAAATGTATGCGTCCACTTGCCGCACACAGTTACTAACATTGAGAGCATTAGAGGGTTAGCAGCCTGTCATAACCCTGGATGCAATATTCGCCCGGTTCGAGTCGCCAAGGTTTCTTGTGCCTTCTGCGGTATCTCGGTCCGTGTGCACTCTTCTGTGGTCACATCACATCGGGTACTAGCGCAAAGGATTGATGTACTGATGACACCTTTTTCATCCTAACTGAAACACGGTATTAAGAGCAAATTAATAAATTTACTGTCCAGTTAAGAAGAAATCAATCACGCCCAAACACCGCTTCGCAGAAATTGTTTCTGAGTCCTCCAACCAACTTATGCACCTGTTTTAAAATTGATTACACTGGAAACGTTTTTCATCTTATTCAGGTTACACCGGTAAAAATTACATTCGAGAGAACATAAAGCGCATAAAGCAATATCAAAAAGCCTCTCTTATGCGAAAGACATCTCTTGGCAACATCTTCTCACCTACTGTCAAATTAGTCCACGAACGCGGGATGAATCGTTTGCCTTCGCGACCATCCACAGCAGTTTCCCGACCCAAGTGCTGTTCCAAAGAAAATCAGATATCAACACAGGTGAATGATTTTCTTTTACTCCCATAATATCCTTAAATTGAATTGACTGAACTTGGTGGAACCTTTTCCGTTGAGTCAATTATTTGCCGTTTCTCTTAACGTCAATCTTAGGTCGAGGTTGCGATTCCATAAATAGCAGTTGTCAGTGGTGGAAGGAATATTAGCGCCTACACCGTATCTCAATCTGTCTAGAAACCGGGGTTGGTTCATAGGTTCATAGGTTCATAGGATTGTAGAGAGCAGAAGGAGAAATCCTTTGTCAGCTCCATCGCTTCCCAATCATTGTGTGGAGGCCGCGATTCGATGTTATGCGGTAATCCACAAGGGACCTTGACAGCTACACTGGAAACTGCAAGGACCCATCGTACTCAAAAGATAAGAGTCTAACATTCGCTTGAAACATTCCTCCGTCTGGGCCTCGACCACATACTTCGGCAAGTTATTCCAATCGTTGACTACGCGAGTTGATAGAGCGAGAGCAGGATGAATCCGAAGTCTTCTGGGTTTAAACAGTTTCCAGTTGTGGCCTCGAGTTGAACTGTTTGGATTGGGTTGAAAGCACGCCTGCAGCTCCGTCCCCATCTCTCCTCTCAGGATACGCCTGGTGAAAATCAGGTCACCGCGACGTCGGCGATAATCCAGGGTGAACAGATTCATCCACTGAAGTCTTCGAGGATAAGGCAAGTCCCGTAACTCCAAGATGTGTTTCGATGCACGCCGTTGCACCTTTTCAATTAGGTCACATTCAAACTTGGTGAGAGGGAAGAGGGCAGGTAATCCGTATTCGAGAATGGGGCGGACATGGGAAGTAAACAATAGTCGGAAGATATCCGGAGTCAAACGCGAGAAGGCTCGTCGTATAGCGTGGGACATCCTGTTGGCAGCAGCAACCCTTCGTAACGTGTCCTGTGTAGTCCGTAGATCAGATGACACCAACACGCCGAGGTCTTTTTCTAGGATTGAGGTTCTGAGCAACGTCCCACCGATGTGATACGTCCCGAAAGGCTCAGAAGCACCGATGGGAAGGACCGAGCACTTATCGCGATTTACGGGCAATCGCCATTTGACTGACCACTCATGTAACGTGTCAAGTGTAGCCTGTAATCGGTCCGCCTCATCAAGACAGGATACCTCCATCCACAATTTCAAGTCATCAGCGTAAATCAAGCAATCCAACTGAAGTTCCACCGGAAGGTCATTGATGAAAATCTTGAAAAGTTCTGGGCCCAGGACCGATCCCTGTGGGACACCGCTAGTCATGAGCACGGGAGCGGAGTAAGTCTCGTTCACGTCGACTCGCATTTTCCGGTTATCCAAGAAATCAGCGATCCAAGAGAGAACGTTCCCAGAAACACCGATTAATCGTAGTTTATAAAGGAGTCTTTCATGAGGAACCTTGCACACAGTACTTTTCTACTCGACCGTGTAACCATAACCTACAATAACCCTCTCACTAATGTGTAAATGCTGGATAACAAAGCCCTTCTTTGGGTAACGATTTTCTACAGAAAACAGTCCCGAAGAGTGATTGCTGCTCATGGAAATGGACTCTATTTGTTCAGGAACGTTGAGACAGATGCATCAGCCGGATCTGCATAATACCCGGCTTCGACTAATAATTTTGCTATATTTACCCAAAGGGTGCAATACTGGTCATGGAGAGTGATGTTGTGAGTCAGTAAGACCTACTAGTTGCCAGTGCTTAATTACGGCAACCTGGTTGTATGACTAGTTGGTGATGATTAGAAAGGCTACATCTTCCATCCCGGGGGGTTTTAAGTGGGCTATAAACTAACTCAGAAGTTTGTTTTATATATGCAAACAGATAATTTGCATAAAACTCCTTTTAAGTACAGCGTTTAATCTGCATCATTATTGTCGTAGGTCTGTTATTGTGCCTATAAGCTTCACCATATTAGATCTGGATGATGTGATCGAAAACCGTTTTCTGGGACCAGTGGATCACAGAGTTTGGTTAGAACAGAAATTACAGTCTTGCGAATAGTAGTGCCCAGTGTTTACAATGCTTTTTGTTTCGACTAGGGCCGTGGTGTTGGTTTGCTCATGACAGAAGAAGTACTAACAACAAAAGGGGGTTGTAATCAGTCCAGCTTCCTCAATGCTTGGCGCTTGCCGTTCACATAGTTACAAGAATAATAATACGTATATTTCTCTTGATGAGAGAAACTGTCTATTGCGACACAGATCAATGTGTACAGAAGCATCAATGCTCTTGCATGGGTGAGATGCATAGGTGGAGTATTGAGATATGCGTTTCATGTATTAACATTCTGCGGGATGGTTGAGGCCAAAGCCTAGTTAAGAAAACATTAGTGTTTATATGTGTTCGGACCCCACTTGGAATGGCTCAACAAGGGATTTTTCCCACATGAATATAGTGGTTATAGTAGTTAGATTAAGGCAATTGGCGAATCTGCTTCTAAATGTTGCCATATGGTCACATGACCTGAGTGTTAATGGTAGTTTTTTCCCCAGGTAGCTATACCTGACCAGGAACAAATTAGAGCAGAGGATCGTTCTAGTCTTTGGTACATTCAATGTAAAATCTTTGTTGCGAAACGCTCGAGTTTAGCAATGTTGTAAGTGGAACGTAGGCAGGTTGGAATAAGTCATTTCGTGTGGCTTGTTAAAACTCAGCAAAAGGTTGTGCTTCAGTCGTCGAATCCAAAGTAGTTCAAGATGAAGTTCGATGAAACATTCTTGATAACTCATTGCAGTGAAGCTGTTCTCAGCTTTCGTCCGGCCCCATCTGGAATACTGCGTCCAGGCTTGCCCGCCCTGCTTTGTTCGGGACAAAATGGAGCTTGAGAGGGTTTTGAGAGTAGGCACTAAATTTGTCGAGGGGTTACGGGGACAATCGTACCCCGAACGTCTACTTAGCTTGGGTATGTATTCAATGCACTACCGACGGCTTCGAGGAGACCTAATCCTTACTTACCGCATTTTAACATGGAAGGTTGGACCGGACTTGAGTTGGCTATTTAGCCCGGCTAGGTTGCCTTGTCTTCGCGGTCATCCCATGAAGCTACACATGCCGCGTTCTGACCGGATCAGGGCGGAAACTCGGTTATCGCGTAGAATTATCGAATGCTGGAACTCGCTTCCAAATACCTTATCAGATTCCTAGCCTCAGCATTTGTATTAATTCCAGGTAGCACCACTCAAGGAATTCATGATCTAGATACTGCATGACAGCAGATTCGAACCGGACAAGCATAGTGCACATTTCATGGCCAATCTGAACAGGCCAATGACAGATACTCATAATATAGTACGAAGGTGTGGTTGCATTTCCAATTCGAGAAACTTTGCGTGCATCTTCTGCATCAACATTATAAGCATTTCCTGCTGCATCCATAGTGACAATAACGATTTATGTTGCCCAGCTGCCAAACGTTTGCAGTACTAATTTCATCTTCGGTTTCAGTAATTCACCCTTCATTTTGCAACTGCAGCCACGTAAGTAATTTTGCGGAACTTACACTTGGTATGAAAAAAATGCCGCCTGAGGCAGACCGCCCAGCCCCGCCCCCTATGCTACGCAGCTAGTAGCATGATAGATTTACTTCGAAGAGCTTTCAAGAAAAACCCCAATCCAGTGCCAGTTTTAAGGGTGGCGAAAAAAGTGGGTATTCATAAGGCTGTCTTTCGAATGACACGCGGCTGACGAGCGCATTGCAAAATTAGCTACATTCAGCATATCAGTTAAAGTGCACATGTTCAACGGGATCATTCTTCGCATACCAAACAAGGACCTCCTCGCCGTTGACGACCATTTCCATGAGTATTTATTAGCTCGAGTGTTCTTGCTGTGCGAAGCATTTCAGTCGAAAGACGTGACACAGATCCCCGTGTGTAGATGAGCCTGGCTCATGCCCGCTGCGTCAAGACAGCAGCAAGATTATCAATGGCTCCGTTTTGGCATTTATCGTTGATATCTGGCAGCAAGTGGACCCAATTACTGTTTTCGAATAACGTACAGTGTCTCTTCGGTCCGCTGGAAAAGCCTGTGTCCCCGTACACTTGCGACAGCTGAGGCGACTTGTATTTGGTTGCTTCAACCACCATCATGTTCACAAAAGAGACTAAGCCAGATTCGACAGCTACCTTGACTAAGGAAAACGAGAGACGCTGAGGTTAGCAGCAATGCCGTGACAAAGTAATGTGAGTGGTTTGTTGATCCATGGTTCTGACCCACAAGTGATCGATGTGTTTGAACTGATCCAGTCAATTGAACACGCTTCTCCGCTACAGAAAAAGTACGTTTACCGTGGTGCTTGCTGGTGATCTGAACGCCCAAGTCGGAAAACTGTCCTCTGATGAGCTTCATCTAGGTGGCCAATAAGGTGTAGACTCGTAATAATAACGGCGAGCGGTTGCTGCACTTATGTGAAGATGCTCGTCTCTTTCTCGCGAGCACTAATTTTCGACACAGCACTCGCGAAACAGTGGCTTGGGGCCCACCAACCTCGCACACAAATCAATCACTTCGCGATCAGTTACCATTGGAGAGACTGTGTCCAAAACTGTCGCTTGAGTTGGAGCACGAGCGCAGACTCCGATCACGTTCTTGTGCGCGCCGACATTCGGGTGGGTTTCAGCGGACGTCCGCAATGTTGCTGTGAGCGCACAGATACAACCCAACTGGCGAAGCCAGGTGTTCTGAATGCCTATCAAAGTACGCTGGCATCCGGGCTGAGTAAGCGCCCAGTGAACACCGCCGAAGAGCACAGGTCGCATATTAGCCATACGTCTTCATGTGGTAAATCAAATTGCCAACCTGGACATTGGGTCTCTACACAGTCTCCGGAACTTACGGATGATCGCAGACGTATTCCGGCTGGAAGCGAACATAATGATACTCGACAAAATCTCAGGGCAAAACTGCGTGCAAGACTAAAGAGAGACCGCGAATTCTGGTGGTCTTTTCGTGCATCAGAAATGGAAACAGCCGCTGCCGTTGGTAACCACTGTTACTCCGTTTGTTACGGGAAATGGGCAGCAGG